ACAAAGATCAGCCTCAGAGGCCAGATTCCATGGAATCCTGCTGCAGGTTCACCTCCATTAGGATCTCCTTCTCCTGCAGGCTTGTTCCACCCATATACATTGTACAAATGGAGCGGCAGTGGATGTAGAGTCAAGCTTGCAAGAGGACAGTGTAGGTACCAGGCTATGGGGTGTGATTTCAGGGATACCAGGAAAGACTTCTGCCTCAAAAATTCTACCCCTACCTGTCCCTGATGCCTGGACTCTGTTAATGAGACACAAGACTTCCATTCCATAATTAACATGCAGGTAGAACATGTATATACCATTGGGAGAGGTAACACATTCCTATATTTTTGCTAAAGTGTAAGTGACTGTTTTCAAGTGACATTGATCAGGAGTGAGATATAGATATGACACTAGGTGACTTGGAATGATTTAGGAAGTGGCTTAGGATATTATGTGCCTGAGAGGGAGAAGGAGATTGTGGTCCTAAAAACAGAATCATTAATTTATTCAACAAATATTTATTGAGCATCTACTGTGTGCCTTGACCTTGAGATGACACCGTTCACACTGTATGCATTTTATGTGAATGGTGATTCGTGGACTTGTGCAATGCAGCAGTCCCGTATGTACTATGTACTAGACTTTGCAGTTTTCCCTAGGGCCTACCATACAGCTAGGACTACATCTCTGATACATTTCAGTGACACCACAGGTCAGGTCATCTCACCTTAGTTTTAACCCTAAAGAGCATCATCATATGTCTCTTCTCAAGTTCTTTAGGGCCTCTTGTTCCACCCTTTCTTGGTGATTTCCCTTTTCCCCTTTATGGACTCACCAATGTGGACTTCCAGCTGCACTGGGTCACTGTGCAAGGTGGAGGATGTCTGGCATTGGTACTCTCCACTGTCATTAACTCTAGCAGATTTGATGAAGTAGCTGGAGGACTGGCTTGAGATGAGGCTCCCATTGTGCCACCACTGTGTGGAATAACCCTCAGGGAGGCACTTCAGACTCACATTGTCCTTCTCCAGCAGCCTGTACCATGGAGGGTCTAGGGACACCACAGCCTTTGGGGGATTTACTGAGGAGACAAGAGAATATGGGGTGAGGGTGGGGGGATAAGGAGACCCTTCCCTGGTGTTCGCAGGGAGACTCTAAGCCACAAGGAGCTAGAATGTGCAAACCCTCAAGGAGTGACTCAGCCTGAGTCAGTGACTCAGCCTGAGTCACTGACTCAGCCTGAGTCTGTGACTCAGTCTTAGAGCATTCTGGAAGCTTGGAGGCACTCGGCCCCATTTTTAGACTGCTCTGGAACTTGAGGAACGCTGACCAACCCCAAATTAGCAGTTTCCCATGCAATGGGCATTTCCCAATATACCTGTGGCTGCTGCACCCTAAAGAGAAAAACAAACAAAAAACCCAAACTGGTTACTATCGGGTCGATTCCAACTCGTAGTGACCCTATAGGACAGGGTAGAACTGCCCCATCGAGTTTCCCAGGCTGTAATCTTTACGGAAGCAGACTGCCACATCTTTCTCCTGAGGAGCAACTGGTGAGTTCGAACCGCCGACCTTTCAGTTAGCAGCTGAGCGCTTAACTACTGTGCCACCACGGCTCCTTTGTTGCACCCTATGTGCCTCAATTCATCGATCTGAGACCAGGAAGCACTCACCAGTCTGCTGGCCAGCCGAAACTGCAAAAAAAAAGAGTGAATCAAATATTGAGTAGGAGCAGCTATCAGGGTGACTGGGGTGTGGAGTGAGTTTAAACTCCCCTCCCATCCCTGTCTTGGGAGCCCAGTGCTCTCAAGAATCGATATTTTTATAGTGGATACCTCTCCTGCTGTCCTCTGGTTTCCAATGTCCGTGCCTCCTGCCCCACTGTCCACCCAAGTCCCTCTTTTCAACACCATTCCTTATTCCTTGCTCCCCGTTCAAACTAACAAATGAAGCGTACAGGTTGCATTTCCCTGAATGAAGCCACAAGAACAACCTCAACCTAACAGTCCTGGAAAGGGTAAAGATTAAAAGTCGTAGGAGGGGAACTCTGGAATGTCACAATGTAAGAGACAGACCTTAGGGGCATTTAGGCCACACTCTTCAATTTACAGGAGCCCAGGTGGAGCAAGTGGTTTGCGATCAGCAGCTAACCTAGAGGTTGGTGATTTGAACCCACCCAGTGGCTCCGTGGAAGAAAGGCCTGGTGATCTGCTTCTGTAAAGGATTATAACCAAGAAAACTCTATGGAGCTGTTCTACTCTTTAACACGTGGGGTCGCCACGAGTCGGAGGTCGACTCCATGGCAGCTAACATCAACAACTTCAATTTTCAGCTAAGGAAGCTGATGCCCAGAAAGGTGAAGTAACCAGGCCTCACAGTCTCCTTTCACTTCCTGAGTATGCCACATCAGACCCAGAGTTCTCATGCCTCTAGCTTCCAGCTGGCTTTCCCTAGGACCTTAAGAGCTAAATCCAGGGCTACAGATGTGGTGAGGAGTCCCATCCCTTCTTGGGGGTCCCACCACTGGCCTGAAAAGAGGTCTCTGCTGAACCCAGGACACCTTAAGCTTCTCCCTCAGCCAGGGTGACTCTGACGGTATTACCTACAAGTAGCAGAGCCATTGGTGGCAGCAGCTGCTACATGCTGCTGCATTAGAGGGGACAAATCACCACAGCTATCCGGAGCCCTAAAGGGACCTAGTTAACTAGAAGAGAGGAAGGAAACAAAGTAAATAGCCTCCGCTCTCCTCTCCCCGCCCCCAGCCCATTAATTACCAGGTTCCTTTTCCAGGAACATCATCTGATTTCTGAATCCAAACTCTGACCTAAGCACCATGACTGGGCAGGAGTGGGAGGGAAAGAGTCTGGTAGAGAAGCTGAGGTGGGCCTGCTCTCCATTCCTCCACATAGGCCTACAGCTGAGCATCTGGGGACTTGAACACAGACAGGCTCTGTCAGAGGGTACCCTGAGAAATCCCAGGATGTTTGTCCCCACCTTCCAGGTTTGGACCCACCCAGTGCCAAGAATAGGATAGCATGAGACCAAAGTGGGAGGGCCATGCCCTGAGGGGTCCCTTGTTCTATCCCTGAGGCTCACACACACACCCCCAGATGGTTGCCTCCTGCCTGGCCCGGACCCATCTCCATTTAGCCCAGGATCTGCCTGCAAGGAAAGTGGTATTTTAAAATCTTCCGATCACTGGAAGTATTTCTTGCCCCAGTATTATTTCCACCAAGGGTTTCTTTCAAAATTCGAAATGCATCTGCCCTGGGAGCTGTTATCCTCAGGAGTTACTAACTTCTGAGTGTGAATTTGATCAGTAGATCCCTATTCTCCATGAGAGGAAACCCAGGCAGTGGGAGAGCAATGAGCCCCTGCAAGGAGGAGACCTCATGCAAAGGCTAAAGGGAATTTTAAAGAAGGCATGGGGGAGGGGACAAGAAAGCTTTACCTTCATCACAGTGGTATCAGGGCTGTGCTGAGCCAAGGTAGCTCAGGTTAGTTCAGGCCCCTCAGGACCCAAGGCCAGGGCTGGTCTGTGAGCCCAGTAACTAGGGTCCTAAGGCTCCTTTTCAGAAAAAGGGAGTAGTCAGGAAGTGGTAAGGTTTTTAACCTCCTCTCGTCGCTCTGCAACCCCCAACATGCACACACATTTTTCCCTGCCTCGCTTCTTTAATCTGCATCAATCCGGGGCCCAAGAGAAAATCAAATGACTCCGCTTGGTAGTGCCACCCAGAGACTGGGCTCCCCAAGGGTTCCTGGGCAGCAGGAACAAATGACACCCAACTTAGAGAAATCCCAGAGGTGAACAGCAGACAGCTGGCAGCAAGTGATGTTTGGCAGGGTAGAGTGGAGGCAGGGGCTGGCCCAGCTCGCTGCTGTCCACCGCTTTGGACAGGTGCCCCTCCTGCCTCCATGGTCATAAAAACCCACTTTTCAGGTTTTGTGTGCTTATTTTGTTTTGTTATGCCTCTGGCTGGAGTAAATCAGTCCTCCCCCATTCCCACCGAGTCTTGCAGTAGCCTGTCCCAACGGCAGGCCTTGGATGAGATGTCTGATAGGGTGGACAATGAAATGAATCAGGCAGCCATTCCCTTGCTCCTTCTCAAGTGATTCATTTACACCTAGAAATTCCAGACTAGAATCTGGAGGCCTAAAGCTGCCTTTTACAGCACTTCAGATGCTTATCAGGGGAGCCTAAAGCAGAAAGGGCACCTTCAGCCATGGTCTCTGAGGTGAAAGATGGGCACCCTCAGCTCTCTCTAGTCTGCATGGTTAGCAGAGTGACTTTCTACCACGACCTGAGGTTCAAGGTGTTCACTTCAGTTTTCCTTCTTTGAGGTTTTATTTTCTTCTCTGACTCATCTTCTGTTTTTGCCCTTCAGAAACAAAACCCACTGCAGTCATGTCAATAGTGACTCATAGTGACCCTATAGGACAGGGTAGAACTGTCCCATAGGGCTTCCAAGGAGCAGCTGGTGGAACTTGAACAGCTGACCTTTTGGTTAGCAGCCAAGCTCTTAACCACTACTAGGGCTCCAAATGGAGGGAGGAATTATTACCTGCAGAGAGGATGAATTAGATAGAAT